CCCTCACCCTCACCCTCACCCTCACCCTCACCCTCACCCTCCGTCCGCCGCTGCTGTCTCAGTTTCTATACAGGATGAATGTCCTTCATTTAGGGTTTGTCTCTACACTCCTGAGCGGGTGTTTTCTTTATAGTGGAAATAGAAGTGATGAAGAGAAGTTACTAATTTTTCTTCTCTTCCTCACCCGAGGATATGTTTGTTGATTTTTTTTTTAAGAGAGAGATTGAGGGATAGAGAGACACAGAAACATCGATCGGCTGCCTCTCGTGTGTGCCCCAGCAACCAGGGATCCAAAGAAGTTACTAATTTTTAATCGTCTTAATGGCAGTTAGGCTGAATCCCGTATAGAGGCCCTTCTCTCTCTATTTTTAAAAGCCTCGGCCAGCGTACCAGAGGGAAGTGGTTGAGAGTTTGGGTCTAGACAGGTGCTAATGCGACTCAGACCCTGATAATTACTTAAACTCTCTGGGCATCAGTTGTTTCATCTCTAAAATAAAAGTAAACACATCAGCATTTGTCTTAGGGTGGCTGTGTGGATTAAATGAAATAATATATGTAAAGTTATTAGCATTGTGTCTGGTACATATGTACTACATGTGCAGTGACTAAGAGAATGAGAAACCGGTAGATAGGTTATGTAGACTATGAAAATGCCTTTAATGAAGCTCTGACTAAAGCAGTGGAAATCACACACTAAAGTGGGAGAATCTTCTTTTGCCTCACCCTATCTTTTTGATAGGTCAGTCTGTGTGACCATTTTCTTAGAAACCAGGAGAGAGCTGCCCAAAGAAGGTCCAGATACCTGGATTTCTTTTTCCTTTGTATCTACCACTGTGCCTAACACATGGGAAAAGTTTAATAATGTGGCATTTTCAGATTGCATTGCAGCCCTAAGACTTCTCAATTTCATTTGGGTTTTATTTGATAGACTTTTTAGATGTATTGATTGATTTTAGAGAGACAAGAAAGGGGAGAGAGAAAGAGAAACATCAGTTTGTTGTTCCGCTTATTTATGCACTCATTGGTTAATTCTTGTATGTGCCCTGGCTGGGGATCGAACCCGCAACCTTGGGGTATCAGGACGACACTCTAAGTAAATTTTAAACATAGATTTTTTAATTTTATGGTGACAGTTACAACTTAAAAAATCAGGCATATTCTAGAACCACTGTTTTGTACTATGGACAGTGGATACAGTAACCACTAATAATAGATTGATGTTCTTCCTTCTAGGTGTTTCCATCATACAGATATTTTCTTTGCTTTTGCCTTTTTTTTTTTTTTAACATAGATTATATTCTAAATATCATTTTGCAACTTTTTAAATGTACAGATAACCTGCAATAATGTCAACATTAAAACAAAAGATGTTCATATAAAAATAAAAACAGGACTATATTTTAAAAAAGAGAGATACTGAGAAAGAAGCATCTAAATAAAGAGGCAGTTTTAAAGAAACAAAAAAAAAAAAACAAAACAAAACAAACTGAAAAAACCGGTACAGATATATTGTCAGCATTATCCTAGGTCAGTATGTAAATATCTAAGCCATTCTTTTTAGCTGTTGCCGAGTGTTCCACTTATTTAAATAACCCCCTAGTTACTGGACATCAGCAATATGGACACTTTTTTGCTCTTAAAAAAAGNCAAAACAAAACAAACTGAAAAAACCGGTACAGCTATATTGTCAGCATTATCCTAGGTCAGTATGTAAATATCTAAGCCATTCTTTTTAGCTGTTGCCGAGTGTTCCACTTATTTAAATAACCCCCTAGTTACTGGACATCAGCAATATGGACACTTTTTTGCTCTTAAAAAAAGACTGCAGCAAACATACTCAGACATGCCTTTGCAACTTTCATATTTTCATAGGAGCGAAAACAGCTCCATTTATGCCCCATTTCCCGCTAAGAACTGCAGTTGGATACATCCTTGAGTCTGGCATTCACTGGGTCAGTTTCCACTTTTTCCTTTTGAAGGACTTCTGGGTTCATTAGGTACATGGGTAATTGTGTTTTGAAATTCAAAACAACAGTATATATTTCATAATTCTGTGAAATGGTGCCACCTACTTTGCATAGTTATTGTCAAGATCACAGATAATATATGTACACACGAAAACAAGGTACATGTTCAAATTATGGCATAGTATTATTTTCTATTGAAACTACTAGGAATAAATACCAAGCAAAAGAGAGAAAGGTAAGAGGCAGTAAGAAGAAAAGGAAATGCAAGTGCTGGCAGCAGAATGGCACCAGGTGTTAGACTGCGGAGTCAGGCCAGACCTTGATTCAGTAACCTTAGTTCTTGAGTTCTGCTTAAGAAAGAATTCAGAGCCAAGACTCAAGAGAAAGTTTATTTAGAAAGTCGCACAGGTAGAAGTGTGCTATAGAAGAAGGGCCCTTGGAACTTAGGAGAAAGAGGCAGGCAAGGGAAACGGCCTGGGGCAGGGGTGGGGGAAAGGCTAGGGCTTGCTCCATAGAGAGAGCCGCCCGGGGCATCTGCTGTTAATTCAGTTTTGGTGAAGTATTTTTTTCTAAAAAAATTGATTCTTTCCTTCTGATTTTCAATGCAATTTACATAGAACTGAGTAGAATAGGTTTCGTTATGCTCCTTTTCATTATTTTTTTTGTTAACCCTCACCGGAGGATACTTTTCCATTGCTTTTCAGAGTGGAAAGGAGGGAGGGGGAGAGAGACAGAGGAACATGGACGTGAGAGACACATCTATTGGTTGCCTCCTGAATGCGCCCCGACCTGGGCTCAATACTATTTGTGGACATTTATATTAGTTACATTTCTGTGTTGTAGAACCACCCTCATTACTAAGAAAAATCTAGTGTGTGTGTATGTGGGTATGTATTATTGTACATACACTTCTTAATCTTAGCCTGCCAGGCCTGTTCATCAATAGTAGTTAAAACCAGTTATTTTGGAATCATCAGAATAATATTGCTTACAGTATTGTAACAGGTTGTACTGAGAGACATTTTAAGTATTATCGTACTTTCAGATAATTTCTCTTTGTTATTCTGTGAGAAATAACACTCCCCACTTGGAGACCGCAGATTATGTGGTGGTGTTGAATTGTCCTTTGTATAGCAAGTCCAGTATCCATAGTTGCATCATGTCAGCAAAACAGTCAACTGAGTTTAGAGATTCCCAAGTTGGGGGTTCCCCAATCAGGTTCAATGATTTGCTAGGACTCAATTCAGAGAAGCTGTTACACTCATGGTTACAGCTTATTTCAGAGAAAGGATACCGATTAAAATTAAGGGAAAAAGGCACATAGGGAATGGTCCAGGGGACACCAGCATGAGCTTTCAGTTCTCTTCCAGTGGAGTTGTGTGACCACTGCCTAATTTTCCCAGAAACAATGTGTGACGGTGCTCAAGGAGTGCTGCCAACAAGGGAAGCTCACTGGAACCCTGGTGTCCAGGGTTTTATTGGGGATCAGCCATGTAGGTATGGCAGATGACTGCATGGCTGACCTTAATTTCCAGCCCCTTCAGAGGTCAAAATGATACCATGAAGACCAAGGCCCTCACCATAGATCACATTGTTAGCATAAACTGCTTAGGGCAGTCCAAGATTTCAGATAAGCAAATATACTTTTAAGAGGCAGGAGGTTCCAAGAGCTCAGCTATTATCTTCCAGGTACCAGGTAAGGGCCAAGCCTTTCCCTGAAATGTGCAGGGTTTGGACATTCCAGACCTGCTGAGTTACTTATTGACTACATATTACTACATATTAAATTCTTCACACACATGTACTCTACCAGTGAATGTTTAAAAGACATACATAATCCATTGTAACCCTCAACAATGAACTCTCCCATTACCTGTTGTTTGAATGGAAGAAAAAGTTCTCAGAAAGGTCATATTCAAGTCATACTTTTCAGTTTTGCTTTTTTCATTCAGTGTTGTGTCTGAGCAGCAGTGTTTAGGTACAAGGGTGTAGGACTTTATTTTTAGGCACAAAGATCTTTCTCCTTTGCAGGGATGGGGTGGGATAGGAATGGCAGATTAGTGCTCTCTGGAAGTGGTTAGCATTTTATATTGTTTCTTCATTCTGGGCACCACCCAAGGACTGCTCATGTCTCAAGGTATTACTTTGTGGTCTCATCCTGGGAGCATCATCTCCACACAGGTGGTCCCCAGGCTTGGGGAGAAGTTCTGAGCAAAGTGGGTGCTCTTGGGGATGAGTCAGTGGCAACGGATACTGAACCCCCAAACTCTGAAGACTAGGTGTCCCAATGAGCCAGTGTGCTTGAGTATTGCGTCAAAGGTAGCCAAGGCTTAATTTTACTGGAGAGAGGCAGCCACTTTACAAAGCTGCTTTTCAGTAATGGGCCTGTACTGAGCTGAGCTGACTTGAGTCCTTGTTTTTATTAAACTTCTCCTTTGTTCCTGTCGCTCACAGAGCTCTCTGGCTGAGACGTTGGATAGCACTGGCAGTCTAGACCCCCAGAGATCGGACATGATTTACACCATAGAAGACGTTCCTCCCTGGTACCTGTGCATATTTCTGGGGCTGCAGGTAAGATGGCTCGTTTAGGATGTAACCACTAGCAAATGCTCGAGTTCTCTATCTGGATGTTTTTTAAATTCAATTTTAATTTTTATTTATTGATGACTTTGTTATAAGTTACTCTTTTAAGAGTGAAGAATGGAAATTGTCAGCATCAGTTTCATGGTACTGAAAGGAAAAGAACAGGAGGAGTAGGTTAGACAGGGAATGAAGGAAGGCGTTCAGGGAATGAGCAACAGAATTGGCGTGGAAGGAAGGACAGAAGATCATAGAGCTATAGGAAGGAGGAGGAACAGAGGGATGGGAAAAGTAGAAGAGGAGAGAGGAAGGACCAGTTTTCATCTCTCATTCCTGGCTCAGTTAACCAACCCATAGCCATGGTCAACTCTCATAAACATGGGTGACACTGAGAAATGTCATGTTGGCCAGGATGTAAATGGCAGGTTTCAGTCCTGTTTTTAAAGGAAGGCACATGTGGCCATAGTAGCAGCTACTTTGTTTGCTGCAGCTTCCAGTGGGAGCAGAGCAGGGAAGCTGCCAGGGGCGGAGGGTGGGGCTGGGCTGGGGGACAGGGCAGGAAGTGACACAAGGTGACAAGCTTCTGCAGGGCTCCTATATCTTTGGTACTTTTTCCCATCTCTCAGCACCCTTTTCCCACTTTCAAATTGTAGTGGGGCTTCAGAGGAAGGAGACGAGACAGGAAGCTCTTTTCCAGGACTCCCACCCTTGGCCTGTCTTTGCCTTGGTGGTTTTAGCCCAGACTCTGTTCTCAGGTCTGACTTTCTATTCTTTCTTAAGTCTGAATGATCAGTTCAATCGGGGATATTTCAGATGCTGAGAAAGTCAGTCTCATTGCCCAGCCAGGTTTATTCACTTGGAGGTGGGTCTGTAACCGCTCCAGCAGCTGATGCTTTCGCTCAGGTTTCCAGGCCCCCCTCACCAGCCCCCTCCTTTAGGTATCACAGGACTTAGTAACTGGGGCTGAAAGGTGTCTAATAAAGAAGTCATGACCAAAGGACCTGAGTACTCATGTTAATAATTTTCCTTGGGTTGAGCATCCCAAAACAGATTCAGGAGACTTGCTTTTGAAATGTTTATATTATAGATGTTTCTAGAAGAAGTCTTTCCTGGTCAAATGGGATTGGGGAACCCTGCATGCATCATGCCCTTCTTGATGGTGCACAATGTTCTTAAGCTTGTGAGCAGCTGACAAGTCCTGGATGGTAATGTTCTGTTTCTTGCATGAAACATACCTATTAGAGTTATAAAAGTTAGGCTTTATGGGCTGCAGGCAACATATTTTGGTAAGTAGGAGCAGAGATGGGGAACTATTGGGAAGAAAATTGGTTTACTATATAAGTAGGCACTGAAAACAAGCAGGCCTCTGGGAGGAAGGGAAGTGAGCAGTAGCTTCTGTGAATATCCTATCCTACTAGGAGTTGAGGTAGGGCCCCCAAAGGAAGAGTGGGCTGGGGTCTTTGTGGAGCATTCCCACAGCTCCTGTATGACTGTTGTCAAACAGTGCCACACCGTAGAAAAAGACAGAAAGTCCTGTGCAGTGAAGCTTGTGTAACTTTAACCCCCAGACCTAAGAGAATTTTTTTAAAAGTTGACTATTTCAAGAGTATAGACGTAAAATTCTACATAGAATATTGGCCAACACTTAACTCGCAGAAGAAAGATGCAGCAAAGCTAACTGGAGTTTGTTTCAAGGATGGTTCAGTACAAAATAATTCATGTGAACCTATCAGAGGAGAAAGACCTATAAATCTAGCAAGCGACACTGAAAAGCATTTGAAAAAAGCAGACCACCTCAGTAGGAATTGTAGAAGTAAAGCATCACCAGTGATTATCTTAAGCACTTCCTTTATGCTGGCCTGGATTCATGTGAATAATCCGTAATGATACAAGTGAGCAGTAAGACAAGGAAATGTAATGGAAAGGAGACATGCTGAAAAAGAAGTATGATTTGGTATATGATATATGTGTGTACTCAAAAAAAAAACACCCCAGTTTTTCATGGGGGCTATTTTTAAAAAACATTGGAGGGGTGAGTTAGGATGAAAACGAGGAAAGGTTTACTCTTTTCCCTGTCTCCCATCACCCACAGCACTACCTGACTTGCTTCAGCGGCACTATCGCAGTGCCCTTTCTGCTGGCCGATGCCATGTGTGTGGGGTACGACCAGTGGGCCACCAGCCAGCTCATCGGGACCATATTCTTCTGTGTGGGAATCACAACTCTGCTGCAGACAACATTTGGATGCAGGTGAGATTGGGATACTAAATTGGGATCCTGAAGCCCCTCTAAGGAAGGCATCGAACAATACTGTCTACCTAGGATGGCTTAAAAGAACTGACTGGGGTGGGGGGACGGGTTGTTCTAGTGAGCCTTCCCCCCTCCCCCAGCCCCCACCATGTGTCTTCTCTTGGTGGATGGCAACACCTCCCACCCAGCTGTACAAGTTGGACAGTCTGACTCACCCAGCTCCTTCCATTCCACCCGTTGCAGGGCAGGCTCTCTCTCCGGTACCCCTCCTACCCATATTCCTTTAGTTCAGACCTGGACTGTTCTACTAGGTTCCTGCTTGGTTTCCTTGCCTCCAGAGCCACTCTCCTTGCCCCACTCTGTGCACCTGTCCCCTGTGCTGTCTTTCCAACATTGGCATCTTCCTTGGAGCTGCCGGGCTGCAGCCCCGCTCCCTCTGTAAAACCAGGATGTGCCCACTTTTTAGGCTTCTCCCTTGCTTTCTGTCCCACCGCCCTTCCAGCCATGCCTCCGAAGCCTGCTGTCCCCTTCTCTGCGCTCACCCTGGGGTGAGCTCCTCCCCGAGCTGCCCTGCTGTTTCTCCCTGCTGTGCGTGTGCTCCCCGCAGCCCCGTCCACCCTGCTCATCCTTCTGGTCTGGCTGGTCCCTCCTCGCTGAAGCATCCCTGACTCCTTTAAGCCTCCTTTGTTCTCTCTGAATTCCCACATATGCATCTTGTGTATGTTCTTCTAATGTGGCTTATTCCACGGTGTCCTTTTTTGTTTTTGCCTTTTCCCACTGGATTGTGCTCCCCTCCTTGACACCAGGGCTCTGACTTGTTCGCCTTTGCATCCCTGCTCCCGGCTTCAACTGGTGAGGAGCTGGCAGAGGAGGGAGAGGCGCCCCTCTTCCTGCTCCCTCCTGCAGGCTTGCTTAGTTTTCTCCTGTCCCCTCTTCCGCGCTCTTCACACTGCAGCCTCTTCCTCTGCTCTGCAGCTCTGCTCACGCGGTGGAGCCTGAAGGGACTGGGCTGTCCTCAGGGGAAAGGCACGGAGTAAGCTTAAGAGTCCTAGTTCTGTCCTGCTCCATGAGATGCCCAGTGGAAGGGCTTTGCCTTGCCTGCTGGGGGAAGGAGAGGGAGATTGTACAGAGGCAGCTGGGGAGGAATGGACTGTATACCAATGAGGCAGGAGCCTCGGGCCTCGAGGGGACTGCCCTTGTAGGAGAGTGTGGGGAGATCCAGGAACAGTGTTAGGGCATCCTGGTTGGCGGCACAGGCAGTGCCCTGGGAAGGGAAATGGCGGCTCCCTTGGCAGAGCTGCTGATGGAAGGAAGCCATATGGACTGAAGGCTGTGGGGCTGGCCAACTCTTGGAGTCCCCTGCAGGACTGCCTGTGGCCACCAAGCTGAGCAGATCCCTTACTTCAGAAGGGAGGGTCTCCTTACAGAACCCCTGAGGGTAGGGCCAGGGGTGCCATTGACTTGCAGGGAAGGAGATGTGTTCTGGGCATTCCAGGGAGGACTTGATCCGTTTCCTTAGCTCCAGGTAGGTAGGTAAGTTTGGCTGGAAGCATCTTTCATTCTTTTGATACAGCGTTTATGTTTCCATATTTCAAGTCCAGAATGGACTAAAAAGCTTTTGTTGGCTGACTCAGGAGCCTTACCTTGCACATAGGGCACCGGTTCTCCAGGGAAGTGTTTTTCCTAAACAACTCACTGACTCATCAAGAAACTTGTAGCACAAACTCTCTGTACATTCAGGCAGTGCCTGTAGTTGAGAATTATTGGTTGATATGAAGAGGGAATGAAGATCTTTATTGCGGTATAATATGCACTGTGTACAACTGTGCCCTGGTCGCATGCCAAGGTCAGCGTAGCCAGCCACATTGCCAGTGCTGGTTAGGTCACATTGTTGGGTATTTTAGTGCTAAACTGTAATCCCATGGGCAGCCAGAGCCTACAGTTCCCAGTGTAAAGCGATAGCTTACAAAATGTGGCAAATGATGGTTTCTTCTCCTTCACACCGGGGGAGTGGAACACGCAAGCCTGAGAAGTTAGAGAGACCTGGACAGGCGACTTCTCCAGCTCTGTTTCCTTGTGTGAAAACGAGAGGAGGCTCTTCCTTAGGTATCCTGTGGATGACATTTTGCCATTATTTTAATGGATCCATTGTGCTTTCATGGATTATTATAAACTTCCTAAAATATGTTCGGGAAGTTATGGTGCATGAATAATATAAAAAGTCTTTTAGTTTTGCTAAATGCTAAACTAACATAGACACTTATCATAGGCTATGAATGATCGATCATTTTAACAGACTTATGTATTTACTTCCTGGTTACAACAGGATCAAATAAACAGATAAAGCAGTTGGGGTGGAGGGATTGTTAGGGTGGGACAGTGCAGGAGGGAAGTGCTGACGTAGCCAGGAGTGGGGTTTGTTCCCAGTATCCAGCCATAGGATTGCAGGTGGCCTGTACATTTGTTTGTTTTATGGGGTTATTTTGTGGGGGGAAGGGGCAGTTCAGCACTTAGGCTTAGAGCAGAAGAAAAAGTTTTTCATGTTCAGCTCTCATGATTTCTAAGATGGATTTTCAGACTATCCCGACTCAGGGTGGTCTATAGTATTGTGTGTGAGTTCTGTACACTTCTTTGCCTATTTGCTGACCACCTGCTGAGTACTGGATACTCTGTTGTCCTGGATGCAGCCAGTGCCTAGGACCTAAAGACCATGGTCTGTGCTTGTGAGGTTGGGGCCCTTTATTTTGAGGAAGCTAAGACTACTGCAGGTCTCGCTCAGAGGAAGAAAGTGTGAGCATCCCAACCTGTGGGCGGTGGCCAGGCCATCCCCTCCTCATTTCACACGGGCACCCTGGTGAAGAGGGGGCACCCTGTTCCCAGACATCTGTTTCATTCCATAAAAATACTCAAAATTGACAGGGAAGTGGTGAAGGGACACAGATGTATGCCTCTGCAAACCTGAGCCTGAGCTCAGACTGCAGCTGGAAGATGTCACCATGCCACAATCACTCCTTAGGATGCGTGTTTCCCATGGGCTGGGCTGAGGTCACACAGTGTGTGTGGTACAGCGTGGGCCGCAGACCTTCCTTCCTTCACTGCATATCTCCCCTGGCATGGGTCCCAGCCCAGGTGTGTGACTTCTGTGACTTTAGTGCTTCCCAGAGCTTCTGCCTGTGGGGACTGGACTATCTGTGCCATGCCTGCTTCTTTTACCTTCTGTTCCCATGTTTTCCTCCTTCCCCTCCCCTTTGACCTTGATCTCCTGCACTTTGCTTTCAACTAGGTCTTCATTGAGTTTCCTTGAGTGAGGTTTCAACATTCTGGTTTTGTTTAATTTGTGATGTCAATCCCAGCCACCCCTTGCACTTGTTCCAGGAATTAGTACAAAGCCTTTAAAATCCCAAGAGATCAGGGCAGGGCTGTGAGCCAGCTTGTAGCAGTCTTGCTGCATCACCCCCCCCCCCATCCGACGTGTCAGTGCAGAGCTGAGGGTGAAAGAGGGCTCTTTCATCACCCTGCCCCGTTGCCTGCCACACTGATCTTCCCTGACCTTCCCTGAGGTGTGGCAGGCTCTGTGTTTGGGGCTCACCTGCAGCCTTTTGCCTCAGGCACCTCTTGGAGGCATCACTCTGAGCTCTCCAGCAAAAGTAAAGACGGTAGGTGGGGTGGCCCCTCCCAGAGGAGCCTCTCCTTGTCCTTGTACCCAGTGCTGTTGTCTGCTCTGAGGAGGCAGCCTCCCTCTCTTCCATCTCCTTGAGTCTGGGGGCCGGTGTATGTTGTGTGCTCACCGAGTATAAGGATGACTCCAGGATACTTCAAGGTCTCAAGTCCAGGGCTTTGAACCCTTAACTGTTGATAGAACTTAGAAGAATCGAGGGGTACAGTGCTTAGATTGAGGTAGGGAGACTGTGTGGGGTGCATGTGCATTTTTTTTAACTACTTGAAAGTAAACTTGCAGACAGCATTCCAGTTCACCCTCAGTATCTCCTAGGGATGAGGGTCTCCTAGGTAAACCACTCACAGGGTCTCCTGTGTAACAGTCATTTTGCCATATCACCTAATATTTAGTCATATTTAATTCCCGAAGTTTTCCCTAAAATATCTTTTATGGCTAGTCCCTCCACCTCCTTGAACCAGGGTGCAGTCAAGTTCATATGGTGCATTTGTTTGTTGTATCTCTCTGGTCTCAATAATAAACAGTCCCCACCTTTTCCCTCCGTATCACCCCCTTTTAAAGAGTTCAGGCCTGTTGTCTGTGAAGTGTTCTCTGGTCTGAATTTGTCTGATTGTGTCCTCGTGGTAGTATTTGATTTGTTCCACAATACCCCTTATTTGTTCCAAATGGGAGATGGGGCTAGAGGCATGGTTGATTAAGGGTGAAAATTTTGCAAAAATTCCTCCATAGGTGACTTCACATTGGGTTTTCCCCACCAAATTAAAAAAATTACTGTTATATCCATTTAACTAAAGTTTTTAGCTAGGACAGTGTGGGGCAAAAGCAAGTTTATAGTTGTGAGTACATGAAACAGTTTATTCTTATATTATTTATTAATTACTATATTTTCCATATGAACAACTTAAATCTACTTTTGCCTCACCCTGTATATTAAAGAAATGGAGGCCTGTCAACCTGGAGGTAATGACCTTGGAGGAGGGAGCTTTCCCTCACCCCCCTAACCTGCTGTGGCGGAGGTGGGGGCGGGAGTTAACATTAGAGGTGGCATCGCTCTTGTTCCACCATTTTCATGTGACCCTGGGCAAGCAGCCTGGTCTCAAAGCCTCCTTTTGGTTGATCCTGGGCACCTGTCCACATCGCCTGTGGGCACTCATTATTTTAGTGGGCCTTCTGCAAGGGGAGGAAGCAGGGAGGCACGGGTGGGGCAGAGGGGTAGCTGTGGGCTGGGACCTGGACCCTTGGTAGCAGCATGTCTTTGATGAGCGTACAGGGCAGTTGGGTGAGCTCCATGGCCACACACCATCGGCTTTGCTCCTTCAACTCA